TTCTGTGATATAGTTTGAATATAGTCATTATTCATGATAAGCTGGTATTTAATATGAATTTAATATTCATAAAGTCTAATAATCCTCTTTAAAATAAATAAATTTGTGTATAATAGTTATCGTAATATTTCAAATAAGTTTATGAAGAATTTCATTACCTTAATATTCCCTTGGATTTGCTAGATGAATAAAAAATGAAGAAAATTAATACTGCTAGAATAAAATTCCTATATATTCTAAGTTTCTTAGCATAAAACATGTATTATTGTTCCTACTTAATTTATTCCAAACTTATTTTATTAAGATCATTCTTTAAGAGATCCTGGATATTATCTTGGTCAGAGTTTTAAGTAGCTTCACATTAATTATTCTGACTTTTGACAAAACATTTCTTTGTGAATGCAATTATTTATGTTAACTTCTTTATTATACTTGTAATCTTTACTACCTCAATAATGTTCTTTACACAAGGTCATAAATTTTAAGTGAAAATTCATGCATGTCGTTTAATTCTTGCTTGCTATTATGGGTTTCGTATATTTGTCCGTATAATGAAGCTATTTATAGATTTATTAACAGTGCTTAATCAACGTATAAATAGATTGAATAATCTTCTAGCTTTTCTGCTATTTCGTTGTGGGAAAGCTATTTTTATTTTAAGGGCTGTAGCTTTGCAGCATCTTCCTTTTAACAAACTTATTTTTTTTCAGACTTATCTATGCTAAATACCTGATTTATTTACTAGGACGTCTAATTTCTTTTTAATGACAGCAAGAAATGAAGTGAGGATATCCTGCGTATGTCTGCTGGTCTTAAATCCAGATCCATTAGAATTTCGTTAATTTTACTTTTCTCTTTTTCGATTATTTGGTCAAATTTATAATATTTACTCCAAAACATCATCCTTCGAATTTATGAATTTTTTGCTGTAAAAGATCATAAGAGAAGCAATAGCATGTATCATTTTTGCTTCCGTTTACAAAGTTTTACATATTACTCTTTAGTTCGGTAATAGTGATGTCATTATTTAATATAAAATTGCCAAACATTAATATTTGGTCTAACACCGCATTTAGCACGCTAGTGAGTTTGAGGATATTTGCATTATTTTCCCAGCTTATAAAGTATTTATTATTTGAATGCTAGTTTTATAGACTTTAAATTAGGTTAATGGTGAGCCTGTAATCGTTCTATGGAAAATTTTCAAAAATATCTTCATACTACGAACCCTAGGAGGTATGAATGTTAATAATATAACAGGGTATCCGATTATATAAAACTATTAAAAATTAATCATATTGATTTATATTTAGGTATGTCAATCGGACCGCTATTAGCGCCTATTTCCACTGCACTAAATCACTTACAAGATCTTTAAATTTGAAATATTCAAAACCTATATGTCACATTTTTCTTCTTCGAAACAAGTAAACGTCTCTAGCTACTTTCAAAATGGTATGAAAAAGTTTTATTCATGCTGAGCTTGTAATATTATGACACATTGGCATCACTTTCCTTTCACAGCCCCAATTATCAGGGGAGTATTATGCTTCATCAAATTCATTCATATCCATAACCAAAGACTTCTTACATAACAGAAAATAAAAAAGTGACGTTTTTCTAATTATGCTTGAGAACAAATAAGGGCTTAGCCAATTTTTCGATTAAATACTCGATGGAAAAATATATTTTTTCTTTAGCTAAAATCAGCCTAAAGTAAGCATCAGTGGCATTCTTCTTTTTTATATTTGTTTAAGCAATAGCCATGTCGTATGCATTTATTTTAATCGTTTTCTTATTATATTCAGGGAGTACAATCAAATGCAGGAAGCGAAAACTCCTGCCATTTTCTAAGCATTGTATCACCGGGTTCTGCTGCGCCCAGTCAGGCTGCCTCCAACTTCAAAATTGGTGCCATTTTTCTCAAATCTAATACACTAGCCACTTCAAATAATTTGCATAAACACAAGCAAAGGCAACAGCGACCTCAGCACTCACATTTGCACAGATTCCTAAAGTTTTTGCCGGGGTACCGAAGACGAACCAGGCAGTCCTGCAGCCAAGCTGACGTCCCTCTGAACGATGATCTGAACAAAATTCTAGATTCGTTAGACGCAGAGGCGATATCAGCACTAAGAGCTGTGGATATACAAGCTCCTCAAAAATCCCCTCTAGCATCGGCGGAAATGGCCATGTTAGCAGGACAGTCAAGTTTATACAGTATTGAAGCTCAGGGTGAGCGCGAAGATGCTGATCCCAATCAGAATCGAGATATTCACCAAAAGGGGCTAGAAAAACGAATGGAGGCGCTAGAATTACATGCTAACTCTAGCGCAACAGCAAGTGGCCTTTCGTCGACATCGTCAGTGGCTTCGTCTGCTGGACCTCCTGAGGGCAAAAATCCAAATAATTCCCGTCAAGACTTGGCACGGACTCAGACTGAAAGAGAATCCGTTATAGTAGCGTTAATTGACCATCAAAGTCTGAATAACTCCATCTCAGGTACTCCAAAGCTTGGAGTAAGTTGTCTTTCAGAAAACGATCCCGGTGTGTTCGCCCCATCAAAGGTTTATTCAGATGATCACTTCAGAGCAGGGCTTTTATGGGAAGCATGCACAAAGGAAAAGGTTGTATATTGTATGCAGCCAAGTCTTATTGCGGCAGTGGAGATCTGTGAACAAAGGTATACAGGTGTTTCATGTAGAGCAAATTAGAGAATTAGATTCACCAACCAAATTTTATGTTCTGCATTTAATTTTGTTTTTATCATATATTATTATAATTCGCTTTTAAGAATATTCCTTACTTGGCTTTTGTAAAAATAGAATTTTAGGATACTGAAGCATTAAAAAACGTTTCATTCTCTATTTTCATTCCCAGTCAAAATAGCATAACTTTGGATAACGCAAATCTTTATTAGCTATTATTAGCAAACATTTTTATATTTTCCATCTCATAGAGCTTTAGAGTCTGATTTCAACTCTAGTGATTGTTTTGCCAAAAAAGAGCGATGCCATTTTTTTACAATTGTCTATTAGTTTGCTTACTAACCCATATTAATATGATGGAAAATATTGATTACACACATTAACTAGCCGAGCAATTCTCAAAATTCAAATTTGTAAGCTTCAAGCAGCCTTTAAGACCAGCCGATCTTGTTTAAGACATTTCTATGATTTTTAATTTAGCAGAGTATCTAGAAGTTAGTTTTTGATAAGCTACTGCTGTTTTTTTCTCCTCGCTTGTACTAGGACACTTGTGCTTAACTTTAAGTTATGTAGCTTTTAAACAAAGATTTTTCATTATATAAAGGGAAAGTTGGTGGAACAGGCACATTAGAAGGATTGATCTTAGATGATATTGAGTAGGAAAGCTGTAGCCAAAGGAAAATTCCGGCATCAGTCGAACAGTGATATTTTGAAAGCTGCAGTGCAAATGAAACTAAGACTACAGCTACTTTAAATTCTCCATATACTACAGTTTTGGGCCAAATATCAGCTAAATTGCAAAAATAATAATCATTAATTTATTTAAAACAACTAAATGTTTTACGCAACGATTGTCACTTTCGGCTGTCTTAGATGAAAAAATGGACGATATTTGAGATTCTTAAATTTAAATGAGTAAAATTCATTATCATGCTATTGAGTCTTATTTGGCTTGGTCTTCAAAAATGCCCTCCATTCCAGATTTAAATACGATATTTATCTCAATTGGCCCTCATCAGCATTAAATACGCGACTTATTGCGGGAAGATGGAAAGCAATACAACTTAGTCACATAGTTCGAAGAAAATGAGAATGACTAGCTTGGCTCAAAAGTCGCATATGCTCTCTAGCACAGAGATATTAAGGTTATGTTGCTGAGTCATAAGGTATTTTATCTTCATTAATAGATTTCGGGTTTTACTTACATTTAAATGTTGATTTAACCCGGATGGGTTAGAAACTGCACGGCATTTGGTATGAACGAACCCTCAGTGATATAACGCTGTGGAGTGAGACGTAGCATGTCCTTGTTCTTATTTCGTTATAGGTGACTCAATTATTGGTCCTTTCAGCAAACCTAAGGTGACTTTAAAAGCAATCTTTAATTAAATATTCAACCAACTTATGAGGCTTAAGTTGTTTGTCTTTAGTAATGTATTCTTTCATGGGCCTCGACTGATGGATTTGTGATGGCCTAAATGTGGATCAAAACTACTTTGAAATGAGAAATATTAATTTAACTGGCATAATTAAATAATGTTGTACTATTTTACCTGAAGGATTGTTAATATTATATATATATATATATATATATATGAATATATACTTTTATCTTAAAGAATGCCAAGTATATACTTACACATTTAATAGGTTGTTTCATTTGAAAAGGAAATTAATTCTAAATCGCTTGTTCACAATAGAGGATAAAAAAAGACAATCTCGACAAATTGCATTTACTTTTAAAAACAGACCTAGAGTAGTAATTAATCCAAATTATGCAAAGCACGATCATATAAATTTGACACATATGGGTAAATTAACTTTATCTATCAAAGTCTAACGTTTATACTGAAAAAATTGCATTTTTTTATTTATGATTCTATAGGCTCACTACATTAAATATGCAATTCCCCACATACTTACAATCAGATAAATATTTCCCTTATTATTAGGGTATAATGAAGGAATTTTTCACCGTTGCACTTTTGAGTTGTGAAAATGCAAAAATGCAATTCAAATATTTTGCTCTAACTCATCTCCAAAACTTAGATTTTTTTCGAAACATGTTAATTGGCGACCATAAGTGTTACTCTATCAAGTTTCATTGTATAACTTCGAATAAAAAGGGGAAAGAAATGTATTACTATTATAGGAATTGACATATTCCTATAAATATATTGCAGGAAGTCATACTGATTATTCACATATAGATATTTTACAACCCATTTTTAGAAATGTAGTTCAAGATATACATTTCTCTTTTAAAAGAATATTTCCAAAAAGGATTTTGAACTTTCCGACATGGACAATCGACTAGCGCTTTCTGTATTTCTGATAAAATTTAAGCTCTATTGTAAATTGAAAATGTCAGTATTATGTAGGTATTACATCCAAATAGGTAACCAAGATTTAGTAATTACTTTTTATCTTTACATCTTATTAAATGAGTAGACGCTACCTTCCACAATTAGCATACTATCGAATATAACAGAGAATTTAGATGCTTTGTCTAGTTCTCTGCTTGCGAATCTCAACTTAGACATAGTAGTACGATTTATAGCTTTCATATTGCCAATTTCATTTAGCTTTAGCAGGTTTATTATTAACATGGCGCTTAAACTCAGGCTCTATTCTTATCGAGTACGAACCTTTGTGTCTGAGACATAATAATTACATTTTTATACTGGTATAATGATAATGTTGTTCAAATATTATTATGCAAGCTTTTATTAAACTATCTAGTTATTCTGCTATCTATTGTAAATTAAAAAATAAATATTTAAATCATCTTTTAATCAAATTATCGCAAATATAACTGATAAGGCAGTACTTCAAAAGCAGCCTATTCTATTTGCCAATGCATCAGTTTATCTCGAAATAATATCAAGATTTTCTATTTTTAAATTAATTATTGTATATGTTCCAAGTTATAGCTATAAAATATTATCTATATAATTTCTTCAGTCTTTACACGATATTTGGTCACGTATTTAATTTTTTTAATAAGGCAAGCTTAAAGCCGATTTTTGAGTCAAGTCCATGTTATGCATACGATTTTATAATCTGATAAAAGGAGGCTTTAGCATTTACCATGAATTTTATAAACCCGTATGCTTTACACGCTTACGGCACATTATATTTTATTATTATCATTTTAACTTTCATTTTGTTTGTCGTTTATTTGATTTATTTTGGGCAACCAAGACTCGAACGCCTAAACAATCGTCTGACGCGACTCAGAATCTATGATTCATCTAATGCAAATACAACTGTAGCCACCAAATGCAATAATTGTATCCGCCATCCTGTTCATATGTCTAAGGCTTCCATTGTATCACCAATCGTTCCTCCAAGCCATCTCTCGGGTTCTCAAGATGATTTGCCCAAAGTGCCTTATGAGCCATCTTACTGCCTTTCTGAATGCAATACAGCTGCTTCAGTAAGGACACCCACTCTGACCAACAGCAAGGCAATCACGACTGTTGGAAGTTCTTCAGAGCCACTTAGCCAGACAAAGCTTGATGTTTGGCAAACCGCAGGCCTCAGCAACAGCGACCAGCAGGCTAAACTGCTTGAGAACCGTATGCCTTATTTTATGGGCAACGCTCCTGTTCTCCCCAAAGACGAGTTATCTAGTATTTCAATCTCTTGCCCTCCTTTATCTTCCTTCCATTCAAGTGTTGACACTTCACACTCTAGCAGAGCTGCCCTTGAAACCTCATGCCCACTCTCTTCTGCCGATGGTTGCTCTTTAGTCGACCCTGCTCCATCTACCTCGAAGGCGACAATTTCCGAATGCAGAAAAACTTTTGTTCAGCTCGCTGACAATGAAAATGCACTCAAAACCACGCTTAAGCTACCCACTGGTGCTACTTATTCAACCATCATTCCTAGTTCACTTGGTGCACCAGTGCCTTTAAAGTTAGGCGAGCACCTGGAAGGCCAATCAGATGTAGTGATTGAGGAGAAATGTGCTACCACTAGTCCCGATAAACTTTTTGGAATTGCCGGCTATTCGATATGTAGACGATTATCTGGAGTTGGCGATCTTCAAAATAATGCGACTCTCGAACGATTGGATGATCTTAGACACCGTCTAGACAACCTACGTTGGCAACTAGAGGTAGGCCTTACCAAGTTCTTTCTATGAATTGGCTTAATTCATATAATATTAAGTGTCGCTAAGTAATTGGTTGCGAGAGTGTATGGATGTATTAGATTAACCGTATTTGTCATTTGAAATCAAGTATGCTTAAAGAATGAATAATATTTATTATGTACAAATGAATTTATAAACATGCCATAAAATCGAAAGGATTCCAAATATGGGCATATTAAATTTACAAGGATTCAAATTAAGTCACAATTAAACCTTATCTATATTATGTTAAATTTATATATATATATATATATATCTAATTTTGTCATTAGCGTATCAATTTTATAA